TATAATATTTATAAAAAACAATTCTCATATATCAATCAGCAAAAAGTTTATAATCATATTAAATTTCAAACTATTACTTTCCTTTCTAATAACCTTAAACAACTACTTCCAGATTCTTACCAACCTACATCAATTAATTCATTACAAGAACATACTGATACATCAATTAAAGCTGCTTTATACCATTTAAATACCTGTACAAATTCTATTCACAATATTCTTCCTAACAATATTATACATACTTTTTATAATTTAACTTCCTTTGATGTATCATTGCCTTTTTTTCAACATGTAAAATTAGGTCTTATATTTTAACTATATATATATCTTTATGCGCAATCTACTATAAAATAGCAGTACAGTTCGAATACTCAGTGTACTAGGTTACATTTCACAGCAAAATAAATTACGCGACTTTCTAAAAATGTAAAACAATATAAGTTTTTTTTTTTCTCGTATCGACCTTCCAAATTTGGCCTTAGGATCCGTTTTTTCGACCGTTTCAAGAGTTTTTAATGCATAAAAATTTTGCTGTTCTACAAGTACCGGACATGGCCTTATGATAATAATACTGTACCGAGCATTTGCCTGATTCCCGAGATAACACTTTTTTACAATGCGCAATAATATTTATGTACTGTATTTTTCAAAGTCATGAATCTATTAATCGATTTTCATTTTCAGATTCTGATAATCGATTTTTGGATGAAATGTGACTTGGTATATTGTGGTGATTCACAGCCATCATAAAGAAGTGATAGAAATTGTTACAGCTTAATTCGTAACTAGCTACGGCATAAACCGTAACAGTTTCTACCGTATCTTTAATTTAAAGTGACAGTCGATTTAAGTGATACAATGAAGAAAAGAATGGCAAATCTATGAGATATCGCTTTTTTTAATTGTTTTCAAAGTTATTTATATAAATCCTTTTTTCTTCCTCAGTAATGTTAGAATTCGATAATTTGAATGGGCTTACAATATAAGTGACACTATTCTATAACCAATTTTATTAGTAGCACCTTTATATGCAATGATGTCACTTATACTGCAAGAGATCATTTTAGAATTTAATATTTTAATAAAATACCGTATTTCTCCGACATCGTACCAGGGAGATCCATTTTTTGTTTTATTACCCGGGATATTCGTATGGTGATATAATATACGTACGTACGTACGTGCGTACATATAAAAAAATGTTTTATTAAAATTTCCTTGGATATATGCTTGTGTCATAGGTACGTACGTACGTACGTACCTGGGTGTAAATCGCCTCTAAGATCGTTGCAGGGTACAGCTCATATGATCACATATAAGTTGTATAAAACCTTAATGGATAAATGATTTGATGTGAGCTGAAGAGACCCGTCTTCGAGTATTTATAGATCGAATTCTTTTTTACATTCATGTTAACGATAATCGCAAATAATAATCATGTACAATTAAAGATTCTAATTAATGTATATATTATCGCTTTATTATCGCGTGATTAACTAGAATTTTCGATCTATTCAATTCAATTCTATTGAATATTTCCCGCCTTATTACGTAATATATACTTCTCACATATTTAATTATTGACGTTAAATTGAATTATGACGCTTCTACTTTCAATGTCAATAATAAACACAGCATGAATATTGATACGTACAAATATATACTCATTTTCACAAAATTGGTTATTCAATTAAGACATTTGCTAGACTCGCATAAAAGAAATTCTATAAGCTATTTCGAAATAAATTACTTAAAAAAAAAAAAAAAACTAATAAATTTACTCGATAAAATTATTTAATGTGTAAAACTTATTATATATTGTAAATATAAACCACGTGTAATAATTATTGTTACATTAAATGCATAAATAGATACTAAACATTATATCTGAATTTAAAGTAAATTCAACATACGTCAATAAAAATAATAAAACAAGGATTCATTGATGCAGTGTATTACATACTAAAGTAGATTTAAGTGGTTTGTTCTGATTCGTGAGTACTTAGTTTTAGGACTTAGAATTAGGGATAATTATTTCATTTTTTTCACACACTAATTTACTAATTAGTCATATTTTTTAGTAGCCAAGATAATACGATGTTCATGATAAGTGCGATATTCGTCAAACTCTTGTACTATCGTGTTAATTATATTCATCCATTCTTCATCTGTTATACCCATAATTTGGGCCGATAATGACTTCATTCCATTGGCCATTTCAGCTAAATTTGCTGTCCATATTTCAGCAACTCTGCCGAGTTTTTCATCCCATCTTAAAAGAAAAATTATATTAATTAGAATCTAAATAGATATAGAAAAAGATTAAATTTGGTTTAAAAAAAGGAATACATACTTTCCAAGAGGCACATCCTTACAAATGCAAGTTACATTTTGAAATCCTGCGTCTTTAATTGTTTGTTCAAGTTTTGAAGTAAATTGAAAATCCATTGCCCTTGTTTTTGAAGTCATTTCGACTAAAAATTAATATTAAATGAATGTGTAAATTGAGCTTGACGTAATAGTGTTTTTTTTTTTTAAAAAAAAAAAGCAGAATACTTACACCATTTGGTAATAAGTTGAGTATGAACTGGACCCATTGATTTTGCTAGTTTTATATAATAAATCAAAATGAATAATTGTAATCTTATAAAATGACTTTTAATTATCTGAAAACGATTCTTACCAGCCCATTCAAACTCTACAGACTCAACAGTACCACCAGGCTTCAATACTCTCATTATTTCACTAAATAGTGGAACCCACTGATCCTTCTTTAACGCTGAAACCATATGTCTCATAAAAACATAATCGAATTCGTCATTACTAAACGGTAAGCCTTCAAGTACGTTACATAATTCGAAGTAACAGTTTGAAGGTTTTATCTCATTTGGAAAGGATGATACAATATCTACACCATAAACTTCCGCCTCAGGAAATTTCTGAGCTACTTCAAAGCTAATTAATTAGAATAATTATAATTAATAATTGATTTAATAATTTTAAATTGATATAATTAAGATGTGTTTGAAAGATAGCTAAAAGGTTACCTCCAATGACCTGGACCACATCCAATATCCTACAAATTCAATAATAAATAAAATCGAATGTCATATAAATACAATGTAAATTAATATAGTTTTTTTAATAAAGAATAGATACGATACGTACTAAAATTTTACTCCCAGGTTTAATAATATCTGAGAGATTTGCAGCATAACTGCCATCGAGTAGTTTTTTCAATATAAAATGACCCATTTGAATTCTATCAGCTTCTTCCCAATCAGTGGGACACTTTATTAACAAAAATATAAATTTTAATTTTTCATAAATTTAAAATTCAAACGATTGTAAGGAAATTATAAAGAAATAGCTTACAATATATGTAGAAACTTTCTCATCTAAATAAGGACGACCACCTATAATCTTAACATCTGAATCAGCACGAATACTACAGCCGTTACCGGTCAAGTGGGCTGGAATAGTATTAGAATCCGCTTGAGGAACAATTTGAGAATTATCTTTGTCTCGTTTCCGATTAGATGACGTGTTCCCCATTTGGATTATCCGAATATCATGCGAGAACTATCAGTTTACACGTTTTTTTTTTAATACAGCAAAGCACGATATTTATATTTTTTTAGAAATTATAAAATCACTATTGAAACACACTCGTTTTTTTTTTCTTTTTTTTTAATACAGTAAAATATGATATTTATATTTTTTCGAATTATAAAATCACTATTGAAACACACTTATATAAGTATGGAGACAATGAAAAATGAAGGTAAAAATGCTTTATATTTATGGTTATTAGCATAAATGCAAATGAATTTGCTAAATATCAACCATAGGTGATATCTAATAACCCACAAACAAATATCTGCCTGTCAAAGACAAATAATTGGTCAAATTTAGATTAGATCGGTTTGATATTTGAAATTGAAATCTCGAATACAATTCGACGGTTAATTCTTAATCTATATGCAAAATGTATATTTTTGGTTAACAAATAAATTTCTTCGATTCATTTTTTTCATTGCTCTCATGACAATTTTTATTTTCTTAGCACAGTGTAATTTAATGTAATACAGACTGACTCCTCTTCTTTCACTTCACAAATGATATCATTCATTTAGCCAATATTATATGTAATACATCAATGACTCTTCTATTTTTTAAAAAAGACCCTCTTCTTAAATGATGTCATTCATTCAGTTTAGCTCGATTTAGAGTTTGAGTCGACCTGATTTTAGATCTAATAATTATATGGATAAATACGATGTTAATTAGTTCGATTATAACGATAAACAAAAATATATTGGTTTGAAATAGCTAAACTATATTAAACGTTGGAAATCCTGTTTTAAAACAAGTGTGAATGATACGTGAGAAAAAAACAGATTAAAGAAGGTTGATATATTAATAGCTTTATTACAGTTAATGCTGTGGAGCATCAGAAAAATTTTTGCTCGAGATTAAGGGCGATAATATAAACTTTATATGTATGTCACATTATCTATTATTTTCTATATAAAAATTTTTACAATCACTTTTTAATCAAATAACTAATGCAATTTATATTTGCGAGATCAAATGAACCATATCTGTAATATTCTCAATATTAGCATTTATTTAATACTGTATCAATTAAAGCCAAAGAGTAATGTCGTCGCCGTTTTTTAATACCGCATTTCTTTTGAAATTAAGCGCATTATTCAAATTTTGGTCCGAATTATGACTAAATTGACCAGCATTATGTGCAAAAGGGGTACTTATTTTCAGAGGAATACAGTATGTGTAAAATAATTAATACAGGTTTTTCTTGTTTTCTTTTTTGAATTTTAGCAAATATATTGCATTTTACTGATTTCTCTTTGGAGTCGTATTCTAATTAAACAACTCGTTTTTACATAATCCTATGTCAGAGTCATCATAAACTCTAGCGGTACTTCTTCGGTGCTTGCCATGATATGGTGATACCTTTACCATTTCGATTACCATTATTGGTTAAATCGCAAAATATTAATATAATATGCGAGATTATATAATACATATGTAAGGACGTACGTACATGCATGGTTGTTACGTTTCTTTTTAAAAAATTTTTTTTGTTCGAAATGCATAGATTAGTACGTACAAATATAAATGCATATATTTAAGATCTTGGAATGTGTGTAAATGCATAAGTGTTATATAAAATTAATAATTTAAAGGATATACAATAGATTTAAGGGTAAGAAAAATAGAGATGCGAAGGATATAAGATTATGATTACATATATTACGGTAATTACCGCTTCTGCCCGTTAATTATCAGTGTTAAATTACATTTTCTCCAGCTGATTGTAATGGCGTAATATTTGCTGCACATATTAGAGTGTGTCAGGGACGGACCGGCAAAAATTTTAATTCCGTTCCCTGAATATGACCCATGCGAAGATATGCGAAAAATAGACGAAGATTTACAAATTATAGAGGTACACAGCATAGTCAAAAATCTATTCAACGTCCAAGTTAAATTTTAAGTTGCATGTAATTTGTACCAATAATTAATATTTCTCTTATTAGTAAAAAAATAAAGAAAAAACCAGCACAAATTACGCATTAGATCACATTAAATTTTTAATTCAGGGTTCATTATATTACTTTCTATTTTAATCTCAAAAGAATCTTTTAGATATATTTTAGGTTTAGTTTAATAGCAGTATCAGCTATATTTGTTGACAGAATTCTAAAGAATGCCTAACTGAAATTTTGTTTATTTAAAATTCGCCCGATTAATCTATTTTTGTTTTAGTTTTTATTATTTGAAGGATATTACAGTACAGTATGGCAGGGACACAGAAATTATTTTGTATCACACCAATATTAGGGGGTTTCAAAGTTAAAATCAGAGAATCTCATTTTATTTTTCCGATTTATAATTCAACATAATAAAAATACTATTGAAAAAATCCTATTTATTTTCGAAATGCGTCACTTATTTGTTAACTTTGAAACCCCCTATTACATGCATTCATTCTACATTTTTAGTGGATATCGCTTTATGTTTTTGATAATATTTTAAGATGTAAAATAAATTAAATTAGTGTTGTACATCAAATTAAAATTTACCATCAGATTGAAATTTTAAATCTTGAATTTCATTAGGATTAGCGTTGGAGTGAAAGCCTATATTAGGTATTAGAGACATTATAATTTTTTAATCTAACGCAGCATTAATTTGACGCACAGCATATACTATATGTATCACATACATAAAAATTCTGGCCCTGCAGTAGGGTGCATGGCGTATGATGTAATTATTATAACCATCGTAAGGGAGAGCTTGCTATTGTTCCCTCCTGTAATTTAACCAGTCAAATTTCAAAGTCAGGTATAACGCAAAAAAATCAAAGCGTAACACTTTTATAAAAAATGACTCGAAATTTTAATTAAGAAACCACCTTCTACGATCTTATTCCTCGTGAATTTTGCTACCGCATAAATTCTTGTTATCTGTCACATCATGCCAGATAACTAGTTTATCCGTAAGGTATGACGTATACACTGACGGAACCATATTATTGCCCAAATAA